GAGGGGGGGGGAGGGCACAGTAGGCAGGGCTCCTAGCCAGGGCCAGGACAGCAGTCTGGAAGCGAGGTGAACTGTCAGTCTTTAAATATACAATGCTCCGTTTGGGAAAAAAAAAAAAACGACAACAACAAAGAAAAACCCAACAACAAAAGGAAAGTTTTCATGGGGAAGGGGGAGAAAAAGAGAAGGGAGGAGAGAGCAGAGAAATAGTGCAAAATGCTCTTGTACTAGTGGTTTTCGAAGTCCACTGCAGTACAGACAAGGGGTAGCCCAGCCGCTGAGCGCTGCTCCCCGGGGAGATGTGGTGGAAGGGCTGTCCTGACCCCTGCACCATCCTTGTCCTCTCCTTCCCAGCCAGCATCCCGGGTACCAGCGTGGGCTTGGTGCAAACACCATGGCGGAACCCCCGAGCCTCGCACCCCCCCCCAATGCACAAATCGCCAACATCTCCTCATGTGCCTCGAACCCCTGCCCTCCCCAGCTCCCAAATCTGCCCCTTTTGGTTTTTCACCCCAAATGCAAAGGGATGCTGCTGGGTGCTGAGAACAGGAGCACCTCATGACTGCCACCCCAGGGGGTGGCTAACCCCTCCTGAAGCCACTCTTGCCTCCAGCCCAACCCCAATCCTAAATATTAGTGCAGCCTGCAAACAGCCTCGTCCTGCCGGGGATCCTCGAGGGACTGGGCAGTGGGGGGGGTCGCTCAGTGCCCCATCCTGAGAGCCGAGGTGGCTTGGGGGGGGGCAAGGGTAGTGCAGCCCCCTCCTCTCACCCTCCTCTCCCCAGGTTGGTGGGGACAGGACAGGTGGTGCCGTCCCAGCGCTGGAAGTGCAGGGAGGGAGGGAGGCTGTCCAGGGTGGATTTTGGTGCTCTGGGCTCCCGGAGCCATGGCTGAGACTCGCTTTGTAGGGGGAGGTCGGGGAGGCACCCTGTGTGTCCCCCCAGTATCACCGTGGTGGCCACGCCATAAGACCACCACTGGGCCCCCAGCTGGGCTGCATCCCCCGTGAGCTGACCCTTGCCCTGCAAAAGCACCAGCCCTGAAAGACAAGGTCCATGGGGAGCTGCCATCCCTCCACCCGCTCCCATCCCACCCCCGCGGCACGTCTCCTTTCTCTGCAGCCAAAGGCTTTCAAGTTTTGGGAAATCAAACAACAAAACAAACAAACAAACAAAAAAGCAAGAAAGAGGGAGAGAGAAGGAGGGAAGGGTCCTGGGGAAGGTGGTACTGGCCTATAACAGTCAGGAGGTTTTGCACGGGGATTGGCGAGCAGAAGAGATGGGAGACAGTGGCGACTGGTGACCTGTGGCCCTTGGGGTTGGCACAGGCTCCTCCTCCTCCTCCACCTCCCTTCTTTACCCCATTCTTCACCCTAACTTCACCGCACCATTAATCCCCCACCCTCACCAAACTGACCCTGCTCCATCAGCCCTGCAGGGCCCAGAGGGGTCCCTCCCTTGGCCCCAGCACCCACCGTGCTCCTCTCCAGCAACATAGGGGTCACCCCGCTCCTGCGGGTTTTTTGCAGGGAGAGATCTGCATTTGGTGGCACCCCCTTCTTTTCGGCAAGGGAAGATGCCTCACCCCCAGCTCCAAACGTGCCCCACTGGGTCTCCATGGAAGTCCATTGGCAAAACTCACCCCCACCATAACTCCGGGGGAAATAACTGCGGGGTGTCCAGTCCTGCTCTCGATCTGGGCAAGTGTCCTGGTGGGGGGCCTGCAGGATGCTCGAGGGAGCGATGCCCTGCTGTGGGAGGCTACAAGGGTGCCCAATCCGTGATGGAGAGGAGCCTCCGCCGGAGCCCCTCAGTGTCAAATCCCTCTTGTCCCATCCCTGCTGGTGGGGACCCGGTGGCGCTGCAGACCCCCTTTCCTCCCTGCCCAGCTCCAGCCTGCTCAGAGGGGCTTCAGGGACGCAGAAGCCTTCCCCCTGAGATCAGCTGTGTCCTTTGGGCAGTGCCAGCTGCCAGCTACAGCTCTGGCGGTGAGATGTGGTCCCCGGTGGGTGCGTGTTTGCCCACTGGGACCGCAGCACCCAGACCCAACGGCTCGCTTTCCTTTCCTTCCTTCCCTTCGCTGCAGGTTCTCCTCCGAGCACCAACATCCTGGAGACCCTTGTCATGGGGAAACAAGAACAACAGTCCCAAAACCGAACGTAAAAATTAAAAACAACAAAAAAGTCAGGAAGGCAGCTGAGGGCTGTCCCAGCATGCCTGAGTCAGTGGGTCTCTGCGGCGTGGTGGCTGCTGTCACTCAACAAGGAGCTGGATCCCCGGTTAAAGGCGAGGGCCCATCGCAGGATCTTACTGCAGGGTGGTGGTAATCAGACGTGGCAAGGTGAGCAGTATCCTCAATGTGAAAGGATGGAGACCGGCGTTTTCCTACCCATGGGGAAAGCTATAAACCAACCTTAACAAAAATCCAAGATAAAACAAAGTGTAGGTTTGTTTTTTTTTTTCCTCTGGAGCAAACCACTTTTTTGGCTGTGGAAAAAAAAAAAAAAAAAAATCCCCATAGTTGTTCTTCCGCACGGTGGCAAAGGGTGGTGAAGAGTTTTGGCCCCGATCTCCCTGTCCCCATGTAGGGATGCTTCAGTCTGGACAGCGATGGAGTATCTGTGAGGTTGGCTTGGATGCAGCCCTTGGTGTCGGCGGGGCCCTGATCCCGCAGGCACCGATGCTCCTCCATAACTCTGCTCCTGTGCTTAGTCCGGCAGGTTATTATTATTTTTTGGGAGGGGGCAGCATCTCTCCCCCTGCTTACAGTTAGGCCCTCCAGATTGCAGGTTTTGAGGTGAAGTTTTGCAAGGAGGAAAAGCCACATCTGTGCACACACATGCTTGCACACACGCACACACACGCAGGCGACAAATGCTTCCACACCTGCATGGACAATGGTCAGAGTCCCGCTTGTCCAAAAAGATTTCTGACCTCCCGTTCGAAAGGAACCGGACGGAGAAGGATATCTTTCCTTTTTGGATGATTTCTTTTTGAAGTCCACGAATATTTTGAGGGGGGAGTATTCATGCTGTTGCAGGAGCTGGGTTTCCCTCCCCAGCTCATCTCTAGACACGAAGCCAGCAGTCCCACTCCTCCTCCCAATGTGTCGAAATCTGCCGGACCCGGGGCGGTCATTTGAGACTGAAGTCAAATCAAATCGACTTGAGTGAGTCCCAGCAATGTGGGGAGGAGACTCTGGAGGACCACGGCAAGGAGGGGGAACGCTGGTGGCTGCAAGGTTTTGTTTTGAGACCCTTTAGGAAATGACTGGCTAACCCAAAAAAAAAAAATTAACCCGCCTGAAACCCGTACTGGAAAATCACCAACTCGGAGAGCTTCCTACATCGGGGTGGCCTCTGCTTGCAGCAGGAGGGCACAGGTGGTGTTGGGGAGAGGTGCGGGATGGCAGAGCGGCCGTGGCTGGTTTGTCTCTGGCTCTGTCCTTTCCTTGCTGAGTCCTGTTGTCAAGAGGCTGCTGTAGATTCCGAGTCCTCAGTTTCTTCAAGGTTTGTTTTTCTCTTTTCTTTTCTCTTTTTTTCTCTTCTTTTCTCTTTTCTTTTCTTTTCTTTTCTTTTCTTTTCTTTTCTTTTCTTTTCTTTTCTTTTCTTTTCTTTTCTTTTCTTTTCTTTTCTTTTCTTTTCTTTTCTTTTCTTTTCTTTTCTTTTCTTTTCTTTTCTTTTCTTTTCTTTTCTTTTCTTTTCTTTTCTTTTCTTTTCTTTTTTTTTCTTTTCTTTTCTTTTCTTTTCTTTTCTCTTTTCTTTTCCTTTTCTTTTTTCCTTTTCCTTTCTTTTCTCCTTTCTTTTCTCTTTTTGCTTCTCCTTTCTTTACGTCTTTCTTTCCCTTTCTCTTTTTTCCTTTTCCTTCCTTTCTCTTTTTTCTTTTCCTTCCCTTCTCTTTTTTCTTTTCCTTTCTTTTTTTCTTCTTACATGAGATGAAAGGAATCGGAGTCCCGGGGCGCGGGGAGGTGCGGAGGGGAGGGTGGAAGGGAGCCTGGGTAGGTAGTGATGGGGCAGAGGGAGGGGATGCGACTTCACTCCACGTTGCTGCTGTCGAACGCGTGGCACTGCAGGTCTCCGCTCAGGTAGTCAGTCCCTGGCAGCTTCATGCCGTATTTGTCCACGCACCAACACAACCCACGCTTCCGGCCTCGGGAGGGCTTGCACTGGGGAGACACCCAAGGGCAGAGATCAGGAGCTGGCCACCAGATGCTGCATGGCTCCCTCACGCTGGGGATCAGGATCAGCCCTGCGCTTTGCCCCTTTCACCCCAGCAATGCAATCCCCTGGGTAGGACCTAGCTCCTGCTCTCTGCTTTCAGCACATCTCCATCCCCGCTGCTACCCCAGCCCGGGGCTCTCTGACTTTTCCTCCTCCCATATCAGCTCCTTCAGGATGCTCGCCTCAGGCTGGCCGGTGCTCAGAGCCATCAACAAGGCCACCCACCACCAACTGTGCCTGGAGATGCTCACAGCAACCTCCCCAACAGCCCAGCAGCGGAAAAACCTCCATCCTTTCCATCCAGGGCAGCGGACCCTCGCTGGGTGGGAAGCATCCCTCTGTGGGGCTCTTTCTTACCTGCTTCCTCTTGTAGAAGCCTTTTCGGTCGCAGTTGGGGAGGTGGACGGCGCGGGGGACCATCCGCTGGCTGCTCTTGAGCTCCTGCAGGGATGCCTCCATGTGCCTGCGGCAGGGGCCCTGCGAACAGGGAGAAGATGGAGCATGAGAAGGGGAACACCCTGCAGCAAGCCTCCAGCTTCAATGACCCAGGTCCCCTGTCCCCCCTTACTGACACCTGCTCCCCAGGGGGCAAAGCCCTCCCACAGCCCCCTGCCTGCAGAAGCCCTGCAGAGGGAAGGTGAAAGCACCCACCAGCTCAAACTCTTGCCGGAGCTCTGGGATGACGATGCGGGGGTGCGCTGTGTTCTCTGCCATGCCCACAAACTTGGCCAGGGTCAGCTTCTTCCGACGGTCCTTCTTCAGGGCCTCAGCCTTGAGCTCGGAGAGGCGCCCGTGTTTGGGCCGGTAGGCCTTGGGTGGGTAGGTCTCCTCTGTCATCTCTGATGTGGTCGGTTCCTCATGCTCTCGGGACTCCCGTTCTGGAAGGGAAGGGGTACCAAACCGTCAAGTCTCCATGAGCTGACTGGGGCTTGCTTTTGCACAGAGAGCCTGCTGTCCGACCCCAGAGGATATCTTTGCACCACGCAGGGTGGGAACAAATGACCAAAGAAATCCCTTTCCCAGGTGCTGCCTACAGCCCTGGCTTTATCCCAGTGTGTGGGACTTGGCATGGCTTTCATGTGACCCCTGAGCTCAGGACAGGAAGCTGTCTGAAGGCATGGAGGAGTTGGGGATCAGGATGGGCTCCTACATACATGGCCACCGTCGTTTGCAGCGTGTCAGTGGAGAAGGGCTGGTGGGACCATTATCCCAAACCCAGAAAAGACCAGATGACACACAAAATGTGGCAGAGAAGCCCCTCTTTAGCCATGGTGAGAGGATTAAGTGACAAATTCACACCCCACCTTGCCTTGCAGATTCAAGAGCAAAAGCCAGGGATGCTCAAAGATGAGACAACTCCAAAGTCAAAGTCAATCCCGCAGCAAAGCCACCACGTGATTGGGCAGACACTTCGACAGCAATGCCGAAGACACGTCTGACAAGTGCTGGGATCTCCAGGGTCCTCAGTCTGCAGCCCCACGCTCATGGGACCAAACCAGCCCCCATCCACTGGCACCCACTGAGCAGCTGGCAAAGCCCAGGGTAACACTGCTGAGCAGTGCTGCCTGGCCGTAGCTGCCACCGATAGTACCAACGGCAAGGGAGGAGCACGTTTAGGCTCTGCCCATGGCAGTTGCCTTCCTACACACCCCCCGGATTGCCCCAGCGTAACCTGTGCTGGCAGGATGCAGTCAGGAGCCCTGTGCAGTTATATATAGGAGAGAGCTGGTGACAGGCTAAACTTAGATGACTTGTGACATTTAGTACAGCCGCTGGAGTGAAAAAGGGTTATTTCTGGACTAAATTTGAATAGAGTTTAAGGCTCCTGAGGCTCCCGGTCTCCCAGTCCCTGATTCCCAGCAGCCCTGTGCTGATGCCAGGTTTGTGCTGGGGCCAGCGGGCAAGCACAGGGGAACCCACCGCGGCGGGAGGAAAAGCATCAGAGCAGCTGAAATCCCTCCCTGTATGGTGTCTCCTGCGACTTCAATGCCAGTGAACCTGGCTCATCCCCTCCTGCAACCCTATGGTGAAGATAGCAGGGCACCAATTTTGCCTCTTATTGCAACATCACTGTTGGGACAAAAGAAAAAGGCTCAGGACGAAAATAAAAGCAGATAACCCCCCCCCCCAACAAGGCAAACAGGAGTCTCCCTGCAGACCGGCTGCTCCCTGGAGCCCAGATGCACCCCCAGGGGGGAGGAGGATGGCTCTGCCCCACCAGGCTGCCCAGGGGTGCCTGGGGGACACCTGGGAGGGGGGACAGACGTGCTGCTCAGCGGCAGATGGCAGCACTGGCCTGTCACACACACCCCCAGTGGGGTGGCCTTGGAGGTGGCCGAGGGGACAGGTTGGTTGGTGGACACCCAAGCCTGCCACAGCT